GGCGTCATTATTTGAGACTGTGGTACGTCTCCTGTAGAGCTTACAGTAATTAGACTAGCAGTAAAGAGATTAAATCTATTCTTGATCTTCAACTCTAAATTGGAAGCTTCAGACTGCTTCAAGTTATACAAATCCTCTAAGGACATTAAATTGTCCTTACTAGCCAAAGCTTACTAAGTTAACCAAGACATTAAGTTGTCTTTGTTACCCTCTTATCTTACTTATCTAAAAACTCTATTCTACTAACCCAAGTAGCTAGTCCTTAAGCTACTAACCAAACCTCCTTACAGCCCATCTTCTAAGATTCCTTAAAAAGTCCCTTGTAAACAGGCAAGTGAGGCTTTAGAGTACTTAAGCAGATTAGTAGGTGGTCTTTGAATTAGTCCCCCACGAACACCAGGATAGCTTGGTTGAAAGGCTAACCCAGTGAACCCTGGAAAGAAAAGATTGGGAAAACCAAATCTAAGTATTCCATACTATACCCTTCTTGCTTTTAGTTTAGAACAGACCAAACTCCATTCTCTTTTATTAAAAAGTAGCCTTCTAGGATTTCTCCTAGAATCTTCTTTATACCAAATCTCATTTTTATTTTTTACTTACTTTTCTTATCCTAACCTTTTCTTTACGACAACGTTTGCCCACTTTCGTGAGCTTTCGTGTGCATTCGTGCGCGTTTGTGCACGTTTGTTCACATTTGCGCACCCTTGTCCACCAAACTGTGAGTACAGTCTGCACCAATTCCAAACTCATTTTTTTTGTCCAATAGCAACCTTCATAGTCCGCTCAATATACCATTTTAGGTTATCGAGACGCCGGATAGGTGGCCTGGCAGCTCACCCTTAGGCTTCATATTGGCCGTCAACTGGTCTCAATAGCACTCAATTCTTTAGAATACATATAGTATAATATATTCTATACATGTACTGCATATATAACAAGTAATAACATACAGATATACCATAGAGAGGCAGTGGCTGTACTCACCGGCTACGCAGGTCAAATGTCAGTGCTGGGAATACAATTAGCTCAGTGGTTCAGTGGTATGATAGCAGATAACATACCTTCTCCAACACAGGGAATGCTACACCCTTCTGTGGCATCTAGCCGAGTTGGGCGCAGGCACCGGAGATGTTATCGGCCGCTTCAACAGCTGCCCGGCACAGTCGGCGATGCACGCGGCTCCAGGATGCCACGGGTGGCTAGTGCATGGCAGATGAGAGGGGCGATGGATGCTAGGTATATGGATAAGGTCCTAGTTGCGATCCATGGTGATCCTATGTTGCCCAGTAATCAGTGAGTTTTCAGCCAGCTGGATGAGAACACGAGGCTTTAGACTTACCAGGATATCTTAGGCCCTAGCATCCTGGTGTACTGCGGTAGGACAGAACAGGGGAGCTGGAGAGTCGAGACATGATGCTAAGGGGGAGAGCCAATGGGGTGACGGTTGAAGACAGAGATGGTTGAGTTAGGATCCCGTCTCTGTCCGAACAACAAGTAGCGCCGCTGCGCCGTCCAAACACGCTCAAACCACGTATGGGGGTTACGGGGGACTCAAGCTGTCTCAAGGTGCTGTAATCCTGATCAGAGACATTACGATGGCGTTTAGACATTGCAGCGCGCAAACATACTTGGAAAGGAAAATCAATCATTGATCGCTTATTGAAACCCCTTGAAAGGGTTGCTCAAGCGACTCTCAATATCCGAACATTGCAAGGGGGTCTAGAATTTTCCGACAACTCTCCGAGAGTCGTATAGTCGACTAGAAGGGCTGCTGTATGGTATACTTATTTATCTGCTTTCTGATGACATTCGGACAGTTCAATCGGTCGTCCGCGCCGAGTTGTTGGAGTATCTCAAAAAAGGCAGGTTGTTCAATGTGTCGGTTTAATCTCTGAGTAAACACATGCCTGGTGCAAGGACAGCACAGCGCTTTCCAGGATCTTGGTGTCATACATCTGGCATGCTGTCTATTGCGTCTGAACACAGCCTACTGCGCGAGTATAGGTTTGTGGTGGATAAATCTTGTTTTCGTTGCAGGCGGCAACTTTCTGCATGATTTTCTGCAATTTACGGTTGCAGTGCCTGGTAATTATCCGTGTATTCAAGGTAGTGAATCTAAGCGCATTTAAGCTCACCGCTGTGCACAATAGAATAAGTAAGTACACATTTGTTCACTTTGTATGTCCACAGAGACTCCATCTAGAGCTTTGCGCAGCCATGCCGTCTCCATACATTGCAGTAAGATCTATAGCTCCTTGTGGCTGTAGCTCGTGCTGAGTATGGCAAAGGTTTAGTCAAACTTATGCTCGACATCAACGGCATTCTTGAACTTGAGTATGGCGTCGGGCGGTGGGACGCCCTTCTTGTTTATTGACTTGCGCCAGTCGGGATCATAAGGGTGGTGACGCAAAGAATCGAATGTGATTGCCACTTTCACGTCGGAGCTTATCAGCAAACGAGACGTACGATGCAGCATGAATAGCTGCTCACTGCTTCCCAGCTATGGTTGCACACCATCTCCGAACGTTAGGTCTAGCAATGGAACGATGTCCCGTTCGCTGGAGCCGCTCGTCGAATCTATGTCATTCAAGATGTCGCGCACCATCTCCTTGCCCTCGCCCGCACGACCGCTCATGACCTCGTCGACGGCATCCCAACAATCATCGAGTTTGAAGACGCCAGCATGCGTGATCATGAACCGGTACCGGAGGTCGCTCTCCTCGGGCGTGTACTTCACCTGGCGCACGACGATGTGATTGTGCCCGCGCAATGGGTCACGATGCACACCAAGCGCGTGTTGCAGCCCGTATGTGTTTGCATAGTGAGATAGGTTACGCCACTCAACCCAGTCGGCCTCCTTTTGCGCAGCTGGTGAGCCTTCTTGCTTAAGTTTCTCGACGCGTGCACGCGAGTTTGCGATGTCGCTGGTATGCATGGATCAGCAACGACTTGGCATCATGAACTAGACAATGTACGTGCACTGTTCCCTGCGAGATGTGAGCTTTGATGATGAGACAAGCAAGATATGTGGACTTACTTATGAGCTTTCCAGTTAGCCCTTTGGCATTCCTTTGAACTATAACCGTCATGTTTAGGGCTATAACGTCCGTGTACAGAGGTCCTCTTACCAGTAGAAGATGTGTTGGCATCTGGAGCATCGGAACAGAGTCTTCTGCATATCTGTGGCTGCACAAGTCCGGCATTGCTTCGTCATCTGCTCGTCCTGCCTGAGCGTGGTTGTCTTCTTGCTTTTGCCAGCCACTTTTCCCCACCAAGGGCAGCGAGGACTGGATGCATCGGGCCGTCCTGGATATCCAAAAATTGACCAAGGGTCTCTTTTGGGTACCGTGACAGATTCTTCTTGATATTCTTGACAGTCCAGTCCATGTGCCTGTGCACAAAAACGTGAGTAGGGGGTCGAGCTGGGAACAAGACGCCTGAGACTTACTCTTTCTGGACCTCAGGTTTGATGTTGAGGCGTAGAAGCACGTATGACAGCATAAGACGCGATATGAAGATGGGCTCTCAGAGGTCGGACAATGCAGAGTCGCCCGCATCCCTGAGAAGGCGTTCGCAGATCACTTTCATCTCCGCATACCGGCCCGCAAGATACAGCGCTTCTGCATACAAACTGTACAAAACTCTGCAGAGCATGTAAGATGTTGGTCGCAAAACAAACGCACGAGCTCGTACAGATTAAATGTCCAGGCTTTCTTTCCCTTTAGCCTTGGAACATCAGCATTGATCTGCATCTTCAGATGTTTGGACGCGTCGGCGGGACGGTTGATCTTCGGGTTTCTGTCAAGAATATTACATATTCCAGATGGTTCTCCCGGATTCCACAATATTCTTTTACTTTCTATACACCTCCGTATATTCATAGTATACTCTAGGTATTGAGTCTGACATGTATATAAGGAGCTCGTACTGCTCAATAACAAGCCAGACTCGAGCTGGTCTTTCCTCACCTATTTTCCTCTCGTCTGTCTCCTCAGCTTCGTTGTAGCCCAGTCCAGTTAGTATTGTAGGTTGCTGACATTAGCTCGAGTCTCCACCAACTGCCCTACGACGATCCTCGTCACTTCCACACCAACCATCACCCATCTCCACACAACAATCCACCCTATACGCACATCCGACTTTCACCTTAAATTCTAACCCTACCAAATTCTACCACATCAAGACCCGGACCCCTGGAACCCTTCTCTGTGCACTTGCACAGCTTTTACCATACCACATCCCCGAAGTCACCTCTGTAATCACTAGCCCTTAGGCAGCTAGACAGAGCTCCGTCCTATTAGAATCGTATCCTGCCCTATCATAGGTGGCGTTACACGCTTTGCAGCAGGCAAGCGGATATTCCTGAGTACAACGTGACAACTGGTTGCGGCCAGGCGTCAGAAAAGAGATAGCAGTTAGATTGGCGATCCCTGTCAGGGCGTCGGACCGAAGAGACATAATCGCTCTTTGGACTGCTGTACTATTCCTAGAACTGTATTAAGATAGTGTTTCGGTTCCTTTTCGGAAAATTCCTATCTTTGGCGAACTCTACCCCTGATCTGGTTGTTACAACACGATTAGTCCCAGGGTTTGCTACAACTAGCTTCACGGACCCGATAGCCCATGACCACGCCTTCTTGCGATTGCAGAGGATATTTACATTGAGTACTAGGAAAGAGAACTATCTACAAACGCGGAGATCCCGTACGATACTGTGTACAGCAGCCATGCCCGCACTCTCCACACAATAGTACTCATTGCCCACGGTGTGAAGAGGGATTACGCAGAGAACTAGTAACTAGGGTAAATACCAGAGAACCTTCCGAATCCCTCGCAAACCCCGAACCCATAGCTTCTAGCTCAGAACCCAGAGAAAGACGTGACACCCTCGATTTGGTCACCAAACATCTCCGATCAATCGCCCTCAGAGAATCTGAAATACCACCTGAGGGACCACCAGACCCTGTAGAAGAAGCCGTAGAAGATTCCAAAGCTTCGAATCCGCCCTCTCGACGTTCTCCCACTCCACCATCATCTCCATCGGATCCCAGTGCAATGGCTGAGAACTAAGACAATGCCGCGTTCCTCAATGGAAGTGCAATAAAACCAGATGCCTTTGACAGCACAAAATCCAAGTACATCGCTTGGAAAACGCAGATGAAACTGTATGTAGTCACGCAAAGGAAGCAGCTACCAGAACAGTTTGACAGAGTCTTCATGATTCTGTCCTACATGAAAGGAGGACACGCTGGCAAATATATAGCCACGTTTATGAAGAAGTACAACGCGGACAAAAATGCCGTGATACAAACCACAAAAACACTGTGGGAAGATCTAGACAGGCACTTCTTAATTGATGAGCAAGCCGAAGCATACGATCGGCTTCAAGCAATGCAGATGGGAACACTATCAGCACAGGAGTTTTTCTCAAAGTTCGAGTTGTGCGCCTTCCAGGCAAATATTCACGACTTCGAGGCGCACTTCCAGGAACTCAAGTCGCTACTGGAGAAAGCGCTGCGGGCCGATATCATTTGGCTTATGTACAACTCGTTGGAAGAACTCCCGACCACTTACGTCCTCTACAAGCAACGGGTCACGCACATCGACCTGAATCAACAGCAATACTGCAGGCGGAACCCACAGCCTCAACAACAAGGACAATTCCAGCCTTGGCAACAACGGGCGCAGAACACACCCCGAGCGCAAACAAACGTAACCGCACCAGTAGTCACAAATGCGCCAGTTCAGACACGGCGCGATGGGACCAATGTGACCTTCGGAGGAAGGGGACAGCCAATGGAGCTAGATCAGGCACGACGCCTCAGTCTCTGTTTCCGGTGTGGCCAGAAGGGCCATCTCTCACGAAATTGCCTCAATAGGCAACAGGCCCAACAAGTAAGGACAGCAGAGACACCGGAGATCCCCGTCTCCAATAGTTTCACTCCACTCATACTCCTTGCCGAAGCACCTGCCGCGATGGCAGAACCATTCGATTGGAAAACGGCAATTTGCGAAGAAATCTGCGCAGCCATGAAGGGTTTTGCAAGCGGTCAGCCAGGCGCGTAGCCGAGTTGACCGAAGAAAATTTCACGAAACAACTGTGTTCCTGGTTTGGAGTTCCCATGTATATACAAAGAAAAGGGGCGTCTGCAGAGCAGCGCGGAGAGGCTCAACCCTCTTGCTTAATTCCCCTGAATAAAAAATTACCTCCTACCTTGAATCAGACTGAATCTACGCAGTGGCAGCGCCACACCCCATGGACAGCGGCATGGACCCGCCAATAGATAGTCAGCAAAGACAAAGCAGCGCTCAGACTGTTGACTGAATGGGTACACTCAAAAAAGAGTGTTAATGCCTCCGAAGCCTGTATGAACCAAATTAGGCAAATGAAAGAAGAAGAAGTGATAGACTTCTTGAATGAACTATGAAAGCAGCCTCGATTTATCAAAGGAAGGAAGGGGACACAGATGGACGTCTCGACGATCATCACTACCCTAGGCACGCAGCAGCGCTTATCAGTCAAAGCGTTATTAGACACAGGATGCACTGGATCTTCCATTGATGCGCAGTTTGTTCGCGATAACAACATTGCTACAAAGAAACTGCCATCACTGATCCCTGTCTATAACACGGACGGAATGCATAATGCCGGCGGCGCTATCACCGACTTCGTCAAATTAAGGGTGGAAATTCAGGACCACGTTGAACGACTTCCGTTCGCCGTTACCAATCCAGAGAAGACTCCAATCTTCCTCGGATATGAGTGGTTACAGATTTACAATCCATCTATCGATTGGCAGGAACAAATCATTCAGTTTGATCGGTGCCCGATTACCTGTAAATACGCCGCCCGATTATTTGATATTGATGCCGATCACGAAGAGCCCAGCAATCCGGAGGCTCACCTAGAAGAAGGGGATAGAATCTTCATTTTAGACCATGAAACATACTTTGCTACGGAAGCAGCATGTATTCGCACCACAGCCACTGATCTAGCCTTCAAAGAAAGTCTGAAACACGAAGCCAAGACTTTTGAAAATACTGTCCTGAGTCACTATCACGATTACTCCGACGTATTTAGTAAAGAAGGCTTTGACTCTTTGCCGCAAAGACGACCGTGGGACCATGCAATCAAACTCACACCAGGCGCGCAACCGATCAGTTGCAAAGTTTACCCTATCTCCGTAAATGAACGAAAAGAACTTGATGAGTTCATAGAAGAGAACCTTTAAACAGAGAGAATCCGACCATCAAAATCTCCGTGGGCTTCTCCATTCTTCTTTGTCAAGAAAAAAGATGGACGGCTTCGACCTGTACAAGGCTATCGGAAGCTGAATGAGCTGACGATTAAAAACCGCTACCCACTTCCTTTGATACAGGAACTAGTGGATAAGCTGAAGCAGGTGCGGTACTTTACGAAACTAGACGTCCGATGGGGATACAACAACATCTGCATCAAAGAAGGAGACGAAGAGAAGGTGGCATTCCTAACAAATCGAGGATTATTCGAGCCACTTGTCATGTTTTTCGGTCTTACCAACTCCCCGGCTACATTCCAAACTATGATGAACAATATATTCCGAGATCTCATCAGTCAAGGACACGTGGTAGTCTATCTAGACGACATCATGATCTTCACTCAAGATTTAAAAGAACACCGTCAGATCACGCGGCAAGTTCTCCAGATCTTAAGAGAACACAAATTTTATCTGAAACCAGAAAAGTGCGAGTTCGAGAAATCAGAAATAGAATACCTCGGAATGATAGTAGGAAAAGGAGTTGTTCGCATGGACCCAGTCAAAATAGAAGGAGTCATCAATTGGCCTCGACCTGAGTGCAAACGAGACATTCAGGCATTCCTTGGATTTACCAACTTCTACTGAAGATTCATCCGAGATTATAGCAAAATAGCAAAACCACTCAGTTCACTAACCGGCAACGCTACCTTTGAATGGACCTTCGAACAAGAAGTAGCCTTCACAAGCTTGAAGAACGCTCTCTGCACAGCACCAGTGTTAGCTATACCCAATGACAATGACTCATACCGAGTAGAATGCGACGCCTCAGACTTTGCCGTAGGAGCAGAATTAGCCCAGAAGCAAGACGGCAAATGGAAGCCTGTTGCTTACCTGTCTAAAGCCATGACAGCTGCCGAAAGAAATTACGAGATTTACGATAAGGAACTTCTCGCGATCATGACTAGTCTTGATGATTGGCGTCAGTACCTCATGGGCGCCATACATCCGTTTGAAATATGGACGGATCACAAGAACCTAGAATACTTTTGAAAGCCGCAGAAGCTCAACCGGCGGCAGGCCCGATGGGTAACCGAGTTAGTGGAATATCAATACTCGTTACATCACAAGCCCGGTAAATCTAATGGCAAAGCAGACGGACTATCTTGCCAAAAGAGGCACAATGCAGGAAAGAAAGACAATTCGAACATCATGTTACTAAAGCCAGAACATTTTCGTGCCTTGATTCGTAGTACCGTATTTAGTTTAGAAGGAATTGACCAGGACTGGGTCACAGAAATTAAAAAATATAAAAAGAACCAAGATTCGCTAGTTACCGTAGCTCTACAGAACAAGGACAAAGATTGGAATGAAGATAGTACCGGACTCGTAACATGGAAGAACCGTATATACGTACTAGTAAATAGAAAACTCCATGAGCAGATCATTGCTCATCACCATGATACCCCATTAGCTGGACACCCTGGCCAATACAAGACGCATGAAATGGTCACGCATAACTACTGGTGGCCCCAAATTTGAGAAGATATCAGGAAGTACGTGGCCGGATGCGAGAAATGCCAGAAAACCAAGGTCCACACGACACGACCTACTGGACTTCTATTCCCGAACGAAATCCCTTCGTGACCCTGGGAAGTAATCTCCGTGGACAAGATAGGCGTATTACCAGACTCATTCGGATACAATGCCATCCTTGTAATCGTCTGCATGTACTCTAAGCAGATAATCACGATACCAAGTACCATTGAGCTCAACGCCGAAGGATGGGCAAAGGCACTCCGAGATAACGTAGTCGCACATCATGGACTATCCCGAAAGATCATCAGTGATAGAGGAACTGAATTCAAGAATCATTTCATCTCCAAGTTGTACTGATCCCTCGGAATCAAAGCCAATCCCTCAACCGCGTATCACTCCCAGACAGACGGGCAAACAGAACGTATCAATTGCGAGATAGAACAATATCTCCGATTATTCATCAACTACCGACAGGCCGATTGGGCTGAATGGCTGCCTCTTGCAGCATTTTCGTACAATAATAAGGTCCACTCTTCCACCGAATATACTCCTTTCTTTGTCAATAAAGGATATCACTCTTACGAAGGAATCCAACTGGTGCGAGAAGGACTGAGCAAAAATGTCCAACAATTTGTTGATCGAATGAATCAGGTACGCAAAGATACTAGTGTGGCTATAGGACTAGCACAGGAATCCATGAAACGTTTCTACAATAGAAAGAGGAAGAACGGACCGGAGTACAAGGCCAGAGATAAAGTTTGGTTAGAAGGAATAAACATCTGAACCGACAGATGAATGAAGAAGCTTGACGATAAGCGATATGGACCCTTCAAGGTCAAACGCAAAATCGGCGCCTCTGCCTATGAATTGGAACTCCTGCGTCAATGGAAACAACATCTGGTGTTCAATGAAAGTCTCCTTAGCCCCTTCAAAGAACCAACGTATCCCTCGCAACAACATGAACCCGTAATCCCTGACCTCGTAAATGGCGAGGAAGAGTGGGAAGTCAAAGACATTCTTGACTCCCGTCGTGATCAAAACGGAAACCTGGAGTATCAGGTGCTCTGGAAGAACAGCCCACACGGCGATCGCCGTTCTTGAGAATCACGGGCAAACTTGACTAATTGTCAAGAACTCCTTCAGGAATTCCATGCGAGACGTCCCGACAAACCCGCGCCTATGACAATTCAAATTCCCCCTCTACTGACACGACCGGTTCACATGCTCATGCATGATACCACTCTGTTGATACAACGGATGGGTGGGATTCTTCCGAAACGAGGATCTGAAGAAGCTGCTGGTCTCGATCTCTACGCGGCCGAAAGTGTTAAGATACCGGCACGAGATTGCAAGATTGTCAGTATTGGCATAGCAATGTGTGCCCCTCACGGAACCTATGCGCGGATTGCACCACGAAGTGGATTAGCAGTTAAAGGGATAGATATTGGCGCTGGAGTCGTAGACCGAGATTACACTGGAGAAGTACGCGTATTGATGATCAATACCACCGATCAACTCTTCCAAGTACGCACTAGCGATCGAATCGCACAAGTCATTTTGGAACGTATTGCGTCATGCAATATGGAGGAGGTTTCAAACCTATCCGAGACTCAACGAGGAGGAGGAGGTTTTGGTTCTACTGGCAAATAATCGTGAGGACACGATTCTAGACGGGGGGGTAATGTCATGAATATTACATATTCCAGATGGTTCTCCCGGATTCCACAATATTTTTTTACTTTCTATACACCTCCGTATATTCATAGTATACTCTAGGTATTGAGTCTGACATGTATATAAGGAGCTCGTACTGCTCAATAATAGGCCAAACTTGAGCTGGTCTTTCCTCACCTATTTTCCTCTTGTCTGTCTCCTCAGCTTTGTTGTAGCCCAGTCCAGTTGGATTGTAGGTTGCTGACAGTTTCTGATCTGCTAGTCAGGCACATATATGCATATATCAGGCACTGCGGCATACAGAAGGTGCGTTGCAAGTTTGTATCACGCATTACTCAGCTGAAGACGCGTGTCAGTGCTAAATACAGCCACGACCAGCCTGCCACACACCATAAAGTATTGAGCTGTCTCCAACGTTTGGTTTGCCAACACGTGCCCCATGGCGCGTAGCTGCCTCTCAGAACACTCTGTCATAACCCTGATGAACATCTCCAGCACGAACACGACTCCCTCCAGCATGGCATCCGGCACTGCAAAGTCATTTCAGCGTGTTTGATCACATATATGCGCATATAAACGCACCATCCGTCACGCGAACAAAGTAACTGAACTTGAATAGGTGAGGCAGGAGGGTATTGTACCGTAGCGACTCGACCATCTGCTCTTGTGTGCCCCGTGTTCCGTCGCTGGTTATAAAGACGGCATTTATAGGCTCCGGTCTGCCCAAACATTGTATCTCTTTCACTGAACGCAAAAATAAGGACAGAATGGTGCCAAGCTCTTACAAAGCTTACTGTTGACGATGTCCTCTGCGACCAGGTTCATGGCAGGTAGCTTAAAGCCACCGGGGAGATCCACACCTTCCAGTTAGGGTTGCGGGGCGTACGAAGTACCTTCAAGAATTTCCTTGCGCAAGCCGAGCATGATGTCGCGCGAAAATAATAAGCGTAGATTATGGTATATGGAAAGGGGGAGAGAAGTCCGTTTTGTGACGATGGCGGAGTTGAGCAAGGAAAAACTCAGTAAATTCGAGCATTGATGCGCCCACCGTATAAGGCATCTCACGCCACATGTCAGTGGTTTGATTTGTATGCTGCGTAACAACCGTACGTCTAGTATATTTTTTATGAGACAGGAATCCTACAGTACAAAAAATGCATCCAGTGACAGAGAAAGGAAGAAAAAAGAGAAACAACATCAGACGGCAAACACTCCTTCCACACTATCTCTCATCTCTCCGGGCGACTGCAGAGTAGCAACGGCTGCCCAGTCGTAGCACGCTGAGGTGCGCTCCCATTCGCCCTTCATGCGCTGCAAAAAACTGATATTGATTGGTTTCTGACATGGGTGATCGCTGGTGATCGCTTCTGGCTTCAAGAGCGTCGCGTAATGCTCCTGGTCCTTCTCCTCGACAACCTTGTACACTGCTGGCGAACAGCCGTACCCAGTGAGCCGGTAGCACGGGTGAATGAGAGGCGACCTCCCTTTGCCTGCTTCCTCTTCCACGTCTTCACCCACTTCGCCCGTCTCGCCCATCTCTTCTTCCACCTCTTCCGCCTCGTCGGGTACCGGAGAGCCACCCGTCGGAGGATGTATGCCAGGTTCCAGCTGCATCACGAGGTGTATAAATGGATGTGCATTCTCCTCATCTCTGAACACCGCTTCGACATCCGCCTCATCAAGCCTGCACGCTGGGCCGTACCTCATCTTGAGCTGGATGAAGATATACAACATCGCGCCCGTGCCGAGCTTCGTGTCCTCCATCACGACCAGTATTGCAATGTGCACCGCATCGTGTGCTGGCGAGAGCATCATTGCATGTCCGCGCGCCACTGCCGCGAGCGCAGCGTGCGCATCGAGCACATCCCACATGCTGCCGTCGTACGCCGCAAAGTGCGAGAAGCACACAAACGCGCGTACGAACTCATGCCCGTGCCGAGCTTTGCGTCGTACCACTGCTTCGCGAACAGTGCGCGCAGAAAGTCAAGCACGGGCACCGCCGCGCTGTACAGGCACTGCATCGTTGCCGCGCTGCTTGTTCGGTACGGTGCGCCCGCACAGTCAAACGTGCGCGTGAGATCGGCGAGCCAGTCGATGCCGGTGCACGCGTCCATCGCCCATGCAGCTGCCTCGGCGAGAAGCAGCTCGGAAGACGTGCCAGATTTGATGGACTCGTTGTGCGTCGGCATGCAGTATGCGATCCGCATGCGTTGCGCCACCATCTCTTCCGTGAGTGCATGTGTGCCGGAGAGCGCGCGGTTGAAGTTGAGGAGTAAGCGCAAACACAGCGGCGCAAAGCGCATGGCGAGGGTGTACCCGCCCTTTGGGGTCCCTTTTAGATATTCGTCCAAGGGAGAGTAACATACGAGCTTCGCAAAGGCAAAGTGAACTATCATGTCTAAGACAGACTGCAGGCCGTGCTTCTTGGCGGCTTGCAGTCAGGTTGAAAACCTGGTGATGCGATTTGGTAAGTGCAAAGAGACTAGCAAAGACAATAGCTCTCACAATGGTCATCCAAATTTGGCCATGAAAGATGGGTCTGCCACTTTGGCAAGAGTCATTGTGCCAGGGATATAAAGATAGTCTCTGTTGAGGGGTCGGTTGAAGATGAGCTTGGTGTAAGTTTGCTGATGGCGTATTGGAGAGGGTCCTTGACGCACGACAAAGGGTGCAGTAGCGATAGTCAACAGAAAGATAGGCTCTGAAGGCCCAAGGTTCTTGAAGGCGTCTAGCAGACTATCATGGACGGTCTTGGATCTCATGTTGGGTCCATTGGGAAAGAGCATCTCGGAGACGTTATATATCTCATCGATTTAAACTAGAATGATGACTTCTGGATGCTTGAGACCCTCTGTCAGTCGAGACTTGATAGTAGAAACAAGCAGGCAAGGGCCTTCTTCACATGCATGCTCTTTCAGTTTCTTGAGAACAGCATTCATATGCGGGCCCCATTCAACGCACGGGTTTTCTTCGAAGATCGTGCGCTCAATGGAGACAACCAGAGCGCGAGCAGCTTGCATACGCCAAATTATCAGATCGCGTGTATGGTGTACAGGATAGAGAGACTTGCCTGTGTGACACGGTCATAGAACTGTGTCCGTGCCGCACGGTTGTTCTCCTCTAAATGATCCCTCCATGCTGCAGCGAGTTCCCATTCGTTGTTGAATTTCTTTTCGGAAAACAATTCCATAATGCAGCTCGACGCAATGCGGAACATTTCCACAAAAAGGGCGAGGTTCATAGCGTTTGCGTGGTTTCAGTACTCCCGTGTACCTTCTATGTATATGTGTACATTGTGATCAGGCACGGGGTATGCTGCAATTGGAGAGCTCTTAGCTTCACGGGATATCTGTGAAAATGTCAACACGCACCTATACGATCGGCGGCTGAGCGAATGTTCAGTGGTATTGTGACAAAGAACTTTGTGACTTCATGCGTCAGCCCAGACTTTCCCATTCCAGAGCTCTGCACGATGGGCAGGATGTTTGTATATGCGGTGCCGTTTGCCTGCGTTTTCATCTCAAGGATCGCATCTGCCAAAATCTCGTCATCTTGCCCTGTGTACGGCGCATTCCACAAGATCTCCATTGCTATTGGCAGAAATGTCGTCAGAAGTCCTCTAAAAGAAGGAAAAAGATGGAAATATCCTCACACCTTTTTCTGCACATAATAGTGACGGTGAGTAGATATATGCTTCCAAAATATAGCTACTCACGCTGCTGCGCATCCGGTATGCTTTCGTAAGCGTCCGAGTCGTAGACCGACATGTCGGTCGTGCCAAAGAAGTGAGACAAACTTGTGGAGAAGGTGACCATGCGCTCCGTATAGCTTAGTGAAGTCAACTGTGTTGCAGGATGTCGGTCAACTAGAGCGGAGTTGCGAAGGGCGGCCGACCTCTTCGACGTTCAACGTAGTTCGTGCACGTGACCGCCACGAAGTGACGTGCATGTGGTGGCACGAACGTCAACACGAGGGCAAGCATAACTGACGAGCACTTCCATGGGCTGTACTTGTAGATCATGAGGTTTGCCAGGACTTTCCTGAGCTTTCTTGAAATTTGGCCGCCTCACTTCTCAGTTCGCCTTTTGGCAAGTGTCCAGCAACTGCTCTCGTGCAGATGGCCCCGCTGGCAATAACCCAGGCAGATACACACTAGATTGTAGGGTAAAATATCAAATAAGCAAATTTTGATCCTACAGAGAACAGTTATTAGCTGAGGCTGATCTGGGTCCTGGTGCCAATCCTCCACAAATTGAATGCTAGTGTCGCTGCGAGACATTTGGGTGACTAGTGTGGCTCGTACGTTGCGGTCTGCAGAGGCCTGAGCATGAGACATCGCCGGGAAGAATTATTCTCAAAGTGTATATTGGAGTAGATAACTGGGCTGAGTAGAATGCCATCTGAGAGATGAGTAAAAGACATTGTGCAGCATTTTAGCTCAGCAATCGCCTACCATATAAATGATACTGTAACAACAGCTTATTCTAGTAAGTAGAATTTGTAACAGCTTAAGCTCCCAGCTATTAAGCACTTACTTACGGCTTCGGTGCTTGGCAAGCATGCCGAGCGGAATACTCAGGGCAGCATCCTGTCATCCCCCTCTCTCCATCGCCATCTCTCCAATTTTCAACTCCAGCTATGCCACATAGCATGAGCTTTCCCTCGTAATTATAATTTTCTTATTCCTATGAGCAGATGCTGCTGACACTCTCGCATTTGTTGATAATCGAAGGTCAGTCCAACTGTGGAGGATCAGACGCGCATATACACTCAACTTCCCCTTTCCTCGAACTTGCAAGCATTCCACGGATGCGGGCTGTGCTGCACGGCTGCAAAACTTTGAGATTTGTGTTGCAAGGAGTGAAATGATATCTGCTATATTACATTGGCTCGTGAGTCACGGACAAGCTTCCACCTATATGTCTGGCACCGTTATCCCTTTCCAGGCCCAAATGGCACCCACATTCTCTCTTTATTCAGTATTCAGCACGCCCACCGTCTACTTTGTCACACTGCTGACCTAGCCCGGAGACATGCCTGTGCTCAACCCTCAGCATTGGAATCTGGCACCCGGAGCATGCATGAGTAGGGCCAGAGTGGATACCCAAAGAATGAGAACACATAGGAAATGCATGGTATCAAGGGTGTTATTGGACAAAAAAAAATCTCACATTCACACCGGCCGCAAATTTTTGTTTTTGATGTGCGTCTAAGGTTACGCGTGTGTATATGTGCACTTTCGTGTGTATTTGTGCACGATAATGCGCGTTTGGTCACTAATGTGTGCTAACATGCACAAAAGCTCACGTTTGTGCACCTTCATGCACTTTCATGCACGAAAGTGTGCATTTGACGAACTACACATTCATGTTATCACAATTCATTTTTGCTAGATGTTTACTTTCGTGCACCTTCGCGCACCTTCGCGCACTTTTGTGCACACAAAGATTCAAATGAGATGCATAATCATGAAAATGAAAACCAATTGTCAGCTTACACGAAACTGAATAATAAGTTAAGTGCACGAATGCACACAAATGCGCACGAACATGCACGAACACGCATGAACACACACACATTAGCACCATTGCCAATCTCAAATCAGGGCGTAACCAAAACCAAAGCTCAGCAGCATGCACGATCGTGTGTGTTTGTGCGCTTTCGTGCATAATCGTGCACGTTCGTCTATTTTTGTGCACGATCATGTACGTTCGCCCACTTTTGTGAGCTTTTGTGCACGTTCGTGCATGTTCGTGCATGTTTGTTCACATTTGCACACCTTTGTCCGCCAAACTGTGAGTACAGTCTGCACCAATTCCAAACTCATTTTTTTTGTCCAATAGCAACCTTCATAGCATGGGCATATGCAACATCGGGTCTGCAGACACCGCCACGCACAGGGAGAGGCTCACGAAAAAGTCCCGTGTCATGCCACAGGCTATTCTTGTGGGAGTTAACGGGCCTGGAGTTGTTTGAGGAGAAGAGGAGGTGGAGGCTGTGAGCACATGCTATGACATCTTTCACCAGTCTGAAGCCCCAATGATAACTTGCTGATAGTTGCTCAGTTACAGGTTCCCTGGACGGGCGAGTTACATTGAAATAAGAAGAGGGTCATGGAAACGACATATTCAAGATGCCACTCACTAACGGAAGGACCTTCACTACTGGTCCTCTTATGCCAAGGTTAGAGTTCATCTGCCAAAAATTATGCTCTGTGCTTGTTAACTCATGTTTGACAAGTCATGTCAGAGACACCAAGTCGTGAAGCAAGCTATTGCAAGTTCGACGGCTGCGTGGTGCACGCAAAGTCCAAAACTTGAAGCTTCGAGGTTGACGTACTTATCGAGCAAACGGAGCGTTGTGCTAGCTCAACTTGAGTGATGCACTTTCTCCAAACAATTTGCGGACACTTTATCCAGAGCCCCTAGCTTCGGCCTTAAGTCAGGAACAATTATCTGTGATATGTCCATTTTAATATGTAAATGGGCATATAGCATCAGCATGACATGAAAATTGTCTGTCATAGTAGACAAATTTTGAACTAATAGGCGATGCAAGCCCATCACTGTTGCTCGGTAGGTTACACTGAACAGTCGCGACGAGGCTAGATAATGAATCACATTGCATAATAAAAGTCTACATATCGAGCAGAAAGCTTAAGTACAGTGCGGTGCGCTTCGTGCGAGGTGTTAGCCTTAGCCTGAAATCCTAGACTAGGTAACCGTCAGCAACATTCCATTCTAAAGATGTGAGTAGGTGTATGTAAATAAGAGCAAGCATACCATTCACACCCTGGTGTGGTCCCCTCATGGGAAAGCCATCTGAGACTTCAATTGAATCTGGCCCGTAAGCAGGATTATACCGGAGACAACTTCCTCATCTGTCTCGACTTATCCGTAGCGGCAACCACGCTTCACAGCAGGTTCTTCACCAACTATGCGCATGTAATGCTTGACTTGTGCGAGAGCCTTCTTGTACTCCATCGAGGTCTCGCTATCAGCAGTAGGAAGGGTGACAGCAGCAGCTCTCCACGTAGACATGAACTTGTACGATAGCTTCACATCTCCAAAAAGGCGACCATGCACATTCTCAGGATACTCTTGGCGATCCTTCTTGGCAGCACGATCAGGTTGGAACCTCTTCTTTGGCTTAACAGTGCTCCTGACCTCTGGAAAGATTGGGGAGCCGCCCGCCACCCAGAAAGTGGAGTCAACTGCGGCAAGTTGGGCCATATACTCGAAGTAGCATCCCAACTCCAGATGTACACTGGCATCGAGGCAACTCACGAGGCTGGCCTCGCCACGGAAACGGCCGATGAACGGCGGGACAAAGTGTTGCAGCAAAGATGTAAATTTGGCCCATCCGGCACCGAGAGAAGTGGGATTGTACGCGCGATTGAGCATAGCACCAAAACGGTTCATGATACTCTGGAGAGTAACATCCCACTGGGTGATGATGGACACGGTACTCAGTGGGTAGTTGATGTGCTCTGTGTTGCGTGCAGTATTGGCCTATGTCACATGTTAGACAGGGCTCTCAAGGTGCTGAGTGTATGAATGAGTAAGGGTACTCATGATGAGCGGCCCACCAGCCTGAGGAGGTGGCCAGTGCCTCGGGTTAAAATGTGGGGCGGAATACAAAAGTATCATGGCAAGTAATGTAGGGTGTTGGCCCTGAGACGCCCAGATCAACGGGCACAGGACACCGCTATTCACGAAGACGAGGGCCTGCTGCCATTAGGCAGCTTGCACCTGCACATGTTGCCATTGGGCCTGTACCAACAAGGCAGGTACTTGGTTTCCTTGGGCCTGCATGATGGTCGAGTGTCCAAATGATAGAATGTAGATTCTGCTCTGAGATGGGTAGTGGCTTCGAGATTGTTGTTCATATGAGCCTGGCAGCGCCACTTATATGTGTCCAGCTTACTCTGGAAATCTTGTGGTTAAAGCGATCACCCGTGCTGCTGGGAATTAACAAACAGCCCTCGGTGAGTGAACTGACTGAGCACTGGCCTTAACCGGCGAATTATGACCTGCATATGCATCACTGTTCTGATGATGCCATAGGAGCTTCAAACAACGCGACTCACCAGTAGTACCTTGTTTGTCCCACACTGGCAGCACAGATCCCAGGACAATGGCTGCATCCCTGGATGCCATGATGGGAAAAGCAGGTATTGTATTCCACTTCACAGGCATAACGTTGTCTTGAAACCAAATATGGCGGCAGCATTTCTGTTGTGATGCGCCCGTGATCATGCCGGTTGCGCACATGTACATGTGTATTGTGTTTCGATGACCCCAACTTAGTCCGAGTCATATTTAGTCCAGATTGTCCCTTGTAGTCAAGACTTGAGCTTCGAGAACATCATTTAAACATGCTATTAAACCCAGATTGGAGTCATCAGCAAAAAATCAGCAGCATATATAGCCTGGGCAGCTTTGGCAAAGCTAACCTCGCTTACAAAGGTAACCATTCTGGGAACAAGTATATCAATGTAGATATAGCACCGGTTTGCTTTATCAAACATACCAGCCTGGGATTCTTTAGCATGCATAGCATGCTGGCGAGGTTGGTATGGGCTGGCAAGGCATTACCAGCGAGTGCCAGTCTGGGTGTCCTTTACAATACGGCTCGCAATAATTCATTGAATATTCCAATATATTGGGAGCTATCTCGCACACAATAATTCAGGACAAAGAACAATATATTTGCAAAGCTACAGCAAGTACATGGGTGCGGGCAGGTATTATAAACATGTCAGTGATGTCAAACAGTCGAAGCGGCCACGTGCTGCCGCCGCATGTCGCCACCGTATGTCGCCGCCGCATGTGTCACTTGCACTCTAAGCGTTCGACGACGAGCAGCCCTCGCAGTGGTGCACGTTGCGTGGGGATTGAATCCTGATCGCACATGTGAGCGTCCATCACGTGGGAGCCTACAGATTGCGACGCATACAGTGGATGCAGTGCACATATCATGAGGTGCTGCCACGCGTATTGGTGCCAGCGTGCCCACCATTTTGATAGGTGCGCCAGGCAGCACCAGATGTTGGAATGTCCTAGTCGTCCTGCTTGTTAGCTCCATTTGATAGAGAAAGTGTGCACCTGAGAGCACGCACCTCACAAGTTGTTCCTTGCTGCCATGTTCTATGCGCGCACAGCTAAGCCTGAGTGCTGATTATAAAGCTCCATGAGTGAACAACACAACGAATGAGCTACACAGTTGCGGCGTACATTAGGTGTCATAATATGTTTGAGAAACAGCTTATCGGATGAGAAAATATGTCTAACGAGGATCTGTGCATGAGAAAATGGATAAAAAAGTGCATATATGCGGGCCACGCACCTTATATGAGCCTGTGTAAGCAAGAATGGGGGGTGGGAGCCGACATCGCGGCTACCATATATGCGGTCAGTTGACCGTACTGTCAGTGAGAATACTGAAGCCGCAAGCTAGGCATAGTACATACACTGTCTGCAGCGAACGCCCCGAGCACCACTGCAGGTGCAATGCCGAGCACAGCGGCGCTCTTGCCGTTGAATGTACGGGTCCAACCAACGAGAGCAGGCCACTGCTTGCCATGCCACCCGCGAGATTCGCGCCGTTCAGTTATCTCGGTGGGCACATGAAAAATTGTGTTAGCGGCAAGAGAAAAACGTACACGGCACGAAAGGAAGGAGAAACGCACCCGGATCGGCCACGAGTTGTCAGTGAACGCATACATCGAGGCCGTACAGGTGCAAGCGTCCGCAATTGAGTCCCAAAAACGGCGTCGAGCAGTTCGTGGGCACTGTATGTGGTATGGTGATGGTGGCGGCAGCAACAGCCTGAGTGGTACAGAGGCAGGAAAGGGGGAGGCGTCCGCCTGACGAGACCTGTGGCATGGTGGTGGGGAAGTAAGAGGTACAGAGCAACCAGTGCCCTCTATATAAATCAAAATATAAGAGGAAATACATCAAAAATGAATTTAGGGGAGGTCAAACGAACCTTTGACTTGTCTTCGAAGAGTCGACATAGAGGCGAAGGCTGACGAAAGTCACGTCTTGGAAGATGGTGCATGTGACGTCGCGTCACCACCGAGATCTGGGACGAGCAGGTCATGTCATGTCTAGTGATATCATGATGGGAACGGAATGATATTGACATACCGGTCTGGGCTGAGATTGCATTGCATTACCAGCCTGGTATCGCCTGTCCTTGCATTGCCAGCGTCCACCAGACTGTTAGGCGCTTGTATAGTAACCCTTCTCTGATCTACGACCGATTTTTTTGCTGATAGATTACCAATTATACTTATGGCACCTATCTCTTTTGCTGTGAGGCCACCGTAGTCCCGGATCTAGCTGCTAGGTTACAGGTGGATAATCTAACGCTCGACAGGAGACAAAAGCGATCGACGCAGTTCTCACTTTCATTCTTCCGCTCTAGGAAGAAAGGTAAGATTGTGGCGGCTGGTGACCATAAGACTTGTATTCAATCACTTTTTAGCCTTGACCCACGCACCTCCTCGCTGGCTACCACTACAAAATGATGTCCGGCCTTGACATCGGTGCAGCAATCCTCCAGCATTATCCCGAACAGAACTTTTTCGACGCGAACCCACCGTTGCCCAACCTTTCTCCTTTTTCTCTCGAAATATTCCACTCGAACGATACCCCCGAGCTGCTGGCGGCGTGCAGGGACATGGTCGCCAAGTCAGGCCTCAACCCTCTGTCACTATCCTACGGGACCAATCTTCTTGACGTAAGGGAGTATCGGCTCTTCGAGACTCATTATCCCCTCGAGGACTATCAAAAGCCGCCACCACTGCAGATGACGAGTCTTCCTAAAGAGGCTGTCCTCATGGAGCAGTTGAACAAACGTGGGAATACGCTTATGTTCACCGTGCGCCTCGGCGAGGAGATCCGTCTGCTTAAGATTGTAAGCGACTTCTTTCAAATCTCGAGTCTCTATGCTCAACGCCACGGTTCTTTTGTACTAGTTTACAGATCGGGACACGATCGACTGGCCGAATTGGCAGCCTCCGTACGATCCAGAAGCCGAGTCATGCGTAGAGTATGATCCGTTCGAGGGGGAGAAGGAGGCCTACGCGCACCTGCAGCATTATGGCACTTGCGATAAAGGTGGTATTGTGCCACGGTGCTACGGATGGCTGCAGCTCGATCGCGGGCGGATGGAGGAGATCCTTGCCCTTCCTAACATCGCCCATTCCGTTCACGGCGAGCTGCAGTGGCGCAAGGTCCCCCTCGATGCGCTTCTCCTAGAGTACTTTCCCGGCGCGCGGCAGCTCACGCACGACGTTTTGACCGAGAAGCTCGCAGACAAGGCCATGCGCGCGCTCTACGAGGTGCACCGTGCGTATGTCGTGCATGGCGACGTGCACCCCCGTAATATCCTTGTCCTGCCGGACAAGCGCGTCATTCTCGTCGACTTCAATCGCGCTCGATGCCCCTCTGGCATGATTACCTGCAGGCGGCAGGAGCTGTTACGCGAACTGTCAGACGCGTGGGCTATGTTCTACAGACGAATGGTACGCAATTTTTTCAGCCATCAGCAGCGCGACGGATAGTAACGGTGCCTTTGTAGCTGCCTGATAAACGTATTGGTCTTGTGCCCTCCCCTCCTGAGGACCTCACGCCAACGGATGAGCTGTAGTCTGAGAACCATTGCAGCCGCCCGATTTCCTTGGACCGCGACCACGACGGCTGTTTTCACACGTGTTACTGGTTTCGCTAGTCCGTCTAATCGTCGCCTATCTGCTATGTGTAGCTCTAGAGTGAAATCAGATGAGCTAAGACTGTCTCAAGCTATATGAACTTGACAGAGATATGAGCTGGTGAAAGGGATACGTGCATATTTACTTCCATCCGGACAGCACGATCAACCTGTGTACCTAAGTTAACTCAGACAAACGATTGCCTAATGTACCAGCTCCTGGCACTTGACGACCAAAATATGATCCAGGCTTCGCCTGCAGTACGCCTGCGAATATCCTCAAACAATTCAACACCGCAGACCCAATCGCCAATGTGAAGAGAATCTTATGGACACAAGCAGTTACACAAGCCAGCTCTTGTACAGGTATGCCACAGTGATATGAAGGAGACTGATCTGCGCGGCTGCCGGCGCGTTGAGCCCCGACCCTAGTCGGTGTCAAAGCGCATGGGAAATTCGGTCTCGCCGTATGTTTGGAAGAGTGGGTCCAGGATGAACGCATGTGGGCCAAGAACCTGGAACGCATGCGCAACCGCCTGCTGCTGCTCAGGACCTCCCGCCATTCTCTGGATGCTCTACGTCCCGGAGGGACCCGTCTATCCGCCACGTCCCAAGGGGCACATGAGGACAGGTCGGAGGCCGAGAAGTCCATCTCCCTGAAAAATGTATTTGGAGTGATGATCGTCGTCGTATTCGAACGCGTACTCGTCAGGGGTTTCCTGCTGCACCTTGACGTCGCGGCCCGCCAACGCAGGAGACCGAGGTCATTGGACAAGTCACTCGTGGCTCGTCGCGAGCGGGCACGATCTCGACCTGGCGTCTATCTATAAAGTGGAAAGAGTATACTGATTAGACGCGTTACAACTTCAACTTGTTCAACGAGGATGCGACTTCATTCTCACCTTCCCCCACGAGCAAGCTATCCCTTGATCAGTCGAAACCCACGGCAATCAAGTTGCTGCTCGCCGATCTCGAGACCCTCAACGGCCCTCTTACGTGTGTACTGGTGTCAGCAGATAGCATCTTGAAAGCTCTCTCGTTGAAAACATAGCACAGCTCTAGCCAATTCAGCTATACCCAGTGGAGACTAACTGCCCCCACTTCACTTCCGGTGTTTCTCGAACAGAATAGCTGCTTCTTGCTCTCGACGTTATGGCGGAAGCTCACATTAAAGCTTTCCTGCAATGGCAGTGCAAACGGTGGATTTTGGAAAGTTTGCCGAACTTGACACAAGATGGGCAGCGAAGGGAATGAGACACAGTGGGGTACACATTTTTGCGACTTGTACAGCTCCATCTTAGCACACGGCAAGAACACCTCGTTTACAGAGATCCGCCGTCTCAGTAAGCTCTATATCTCTATTTTAGCCGTCCTCTAATCACGACACTTCAATGCAGGGCTCCTTCATCCAAAGTTCGAGGATTCTCCCTACACCAAGCCAGACGAATCCAGTCATCCCGAATCCGACACCTCCTCCTAATGTCCACTAGCCAACACCGAGAGGTTATGGCAGGCTGCTCGATTACGTCAGGATACACGATGCGCATCCTAACAAAATTATAAGTCTATCTTGAACCCGACACAGGCGTTGTCAAGTACTTGAAGGCAGTGCGCGCCGGGGTGGGCGTGAGGCTGAGACTCGTTCAAACTTCGGCGAAGCACAATGATCAGCGTAGCGTTTCGGTGGGTGCATCCAATAAAACCCACAATCTAGCCCATTCTGCGCTGCGAGACTTTACTGCCTCTGCTACTCATTTCAAGATGAGTATGAGTCGAGAAGGATATCCCTCTCAACTCAGCCTCATCTTGACATTGAACTTGCCCCACCATGATGTTACCACATCACCTGTACTGCGAACGCCAAATCCGCCGTTGGCGTCTTCAGGGCAATGAACATCGGCCTTTCATTGGAGCGCGTACTCGTCAAGGGCGCCTTGCTGCTCGTTACCCGGCGAGGACAGACAAACTTGCCTATTGCACCCGCCGTGCACGCAGGCCCTCAGCCGCGCTTGCGCTGGACATGGTTATTGAAGAGGCCGAGGGACCTGGCGCCGACGAGCCTGCTCTCGAACGCTGCGCCCGGTGGGGCGTTCCTCCAGTTGCCTGGTGAGGACACCGCGCCGCCTGACATTGTTCATTCGTACTCAATTAAAACTTCAGCTTCACGACATAGAATGGGCTGGCGCCGCTATCGATGATCCATGAACGTAACGTTGGAACGTCGAACCATTGCACTAGGCGGAATGGACGTCCTAGTCGAAAGGCTGCTCGCACGCGTCACGAATGACAGCAATGTACACGAGGATAATATTGATATGTAATTTTCGCTGGCAAGCGCAACAATGGGCCGGTGTAGCACGCAGGATCATAATCACTGGATGAGGGGGGGACGAGCAGCGCGCTTCACGCGGCCGCCACAAGGCTGGCGCCTCTGAATCTTCGCTCGTACCACCATCTATCTTTTGCATGCGACCTGGCATAGCCTCGCATATTGATCTTCTAGACGGCTGGTACAGACTGTATGTAATAATATTTTGGAAGCTTTAGCCCTAGGAGAGAGCTAGGTGCGTTTCTGTTACTCTTGCCACGTCGCAGTCGTGCCTGACACGCTGGCAGCCTAGCACTCCAGTCTTGTCGCGCAGTGGAACTTAGAGCAGCTGATATGAAGTGCGCCTATCAACTTTCAAATCGCGAATTAGCAATTCTTGCAATGTAGCAACAAACGGACGTCTCGCTCGGTCGCCCTGTGAGCCCTTTTCGGTCGTGGAGGCCGCCTCAGAGTGACTGCTAAAATGCGGCCTCACTTTTCAGAAACCCACCGCCGCTCCCGTGGCCTTCAGAAAGAGCGACAGAGACATCCTCCGCGATGCATTCCTCGATCACCCGTCAATTCCTCCAGGCTAGCAGCCCGCCTTCGGTGCCGAACGTGCAAGGCGGATCACTCCCATCACCCAACTCTACCACTCTCCATGCAGACCCCGAGTACATCAATACTCACTTTGCACTGAGGACTTCATTGAAAGTATTGCGCCGACTATTGTGGTATGCATCTGCCGTCGCCTCATTGACCCCCAGGTCGTGCACGGCCCAGCATTTCGGAGCCAAGGGCGCAATCGAGCACGCTATAAAGCCCGCTAGCGCATTGCGCAATTCAGCACAGCGCTCGTGCACTCAGCTCCCACACACCAAACCCAACCCCAAGCATCTGAAACATGTACGCACGTTCTCTGCCTCGCCTCCGCGTCCACACGCCTCACCAGCCTCGCCGCGGATTCGCCACACCGCTCAGCAGGTTCGTTCTTCCGAGAGGCGACACCGCCGAAGAGCAGCGTACGCAGCTCCTGCGCGCGTACGACGAAGACTGGGAGCCCAAGCAGGTCACATATGACGGGCTCAAGCCAAAGACGCTCGCCCCGAACCCCGTACGCCTCGTTTCCTCCCGCAGTTGCGTACGCACGCTGACGACTGCGCTACCATACAGGACACGGTGATCGTCGACGTGCGCGAGCCCGCCGAGCTCCTCGAGGGCCACATCCCGACCGCGCACAACCTCCCGCTGACGTACGTCCTCACCGGTGGCTTCGCGCTCGACGACTCGGCCTTCGAGGCGCAGTTCGGCTGGACGAAGCCGCGCAAAGACCAGGAGGTCATCATCTACTGCAAGAAGGGCAAGCGCTCATCCATTGCGGCCGACTCTGCGAAGAAGGCCGGTTACACCAAGTGAGTAGAGCGCGCGCACGCGGACGAGGAGCAGGTACTAATAGACAACGTACACCTAGCATTGTGGAGTACAGAGGCTCTTGGCTCGACTGGGCGACGCGGGAGGGTATTAAGACGCCTCCGACGCAGTGAAGCTTGGTTGAATCCAAGTTTGTGTATAGCAGGCCCCTGACTAGACTTGGTGTATGCCCCGAGCTATAATCAACGTAATGCTAGGTCCATGTGAAAATATATGCTCAGCCCGTTCCTAAGATATCCGAATTTTGTGAGGTCAAGAAGAGAGAGGTCAAGAAGATATTGCGTTCCTAGGTTACGTACAGTGGCCAAAACTCAAAGCATGCATCATCCGAGGCCAGCACTCAGGGCGAACACGTCCGCCAAGAACGAAACGATCCGGCCCCAAGACGCGATCCCGAGCCTAATACGGTGGTGCGCCGCCTCCCCGATGTTGGTACCCGCTATCCCCCGCTGGATAGTGGCTCCCGCTCGGCATCCGCGGTATCGGCGGCGGCGGGTTGCGTTGTTGCTGCTGCTGACCGTACGGCTCGGGCGGGTACGGCATGCTCGGCGGCGGTTGGGGCGGCTGTGGCGGTGCGTACGGCTGCGGGCCCTGCGTGATGCCGAGGCGCTCCAGAAGCGCGCGAGAGAGCTCCGACGACGAGTACCCCGTGCCGAGCGCCGCGCTGATGTTCGGCCACCCGGGCGGGAGCGCCTGTTGCTGCTGCTGTTGGTGCGGCGGCGGTTGCGGCGCGCCCGGCTGCTGCTGGAACGCCTTCGCGTGGCGAATCGCCTCGAGCCGGTCGGTCTGGGGCTGCGTGCTGTACGGCGGCGGCGCGGACGAGGGTGGCGGCGCGATTTCACTCGACGACTCACGCTTCGCGGCGTGCGCAGACGACTTCTTCGTGGATGACGACTGTTTCGTGAGGGGCCGCTTGTTCGGGTGATACTCCGCGTTGTCCTCGTCGTCGCTGCTCGCCTTGGCGCGCTTGCGCTTGGACAGCATCGCCTTGGCCTTCGACTTGGCCTTCGTGGGCGCAGGCGTCGCGTCGAGCTGGTCGACGCCCTCATCCTCGTCCTCGCTCCCGTCCTCCGAGTTCGCGTCGTGAGGCTCGTCTTCAGCATACAGGCTCCTGATGGCCACGGCCGCCACGTCATTCTCGGGGTCTGCGTGGAATTGGCTCGCCTTGAGCTTATTGATGAACCCGAACATGTGCTTGAAGCATCGACTGTTCATCCGCACATCCGCCTCGACCTGGCGGATATCGAGCCTCATCTGCTCGATGGCCTCAGAGAGCTGACTCATGGTAAACTTGCCCTTCTGGCGGTGTATGAGGACAGTTATCGTGATGAACTCGGCGGGAGAGACCTTGAGTAGCTTGTTCTTGTCGTAGATGTCGAAGCAGCTGCGCCATTTCCGGTGCTTTGTGAGCGAAACGAAAATCTTGAACGTGTCGTGCAGGCTCTTGCAGAAGTGCTCGTCGAGCTCTTCTGGCTGTTGCAGCCACTTGGTCAGCGAGCTCATGGCCGGTTCCGCATTGCTGGCCTTGGTAGTACAATACACCGCAGATGCCACGCAACGGAAGTCAGTACCACGGGAAGTGTCCCATTGGAGGATCTGGTTCTTGTTCTTGTGGCTTTTCCTGCCGAGCTGATTGTGCACGTATAGAGCGAGGAGGGTACGTACGAACTGGCTCGATGGGCTGCTAACAGCTTGCAATTTTTCTGTAGAGCGTTGAGCACCAGAAGAAAGCCAAAAGAATGTAAAACCCACCGGCCGGTGTCAGTGCCATGCCCAATTGGACCCGCTGAAAGATTTCCCGCTCGCTGCCTTCGTCTAGATGTGTATACTCTATGCAAACCTTTAAAAATCGTTTAATAGTGTCAAATGACTCGATAGCGGGAGTACTAACAATCTGCTTGTTGGCGAAAACCTTCTTGTATTGAGTGGGCAGTAGCTTCCCCCTCTCTGTCCGACTCGGGTTCTCCTTGTAAAAGAATTTGTCTCCTGTGAATCTAAGAACAAATAGCATTAGAGTGTACAAGCCTGACGTCGGTTGGCCCTACTTACACATCTTTGTCTGAAATGCACTTCGTCTTCAGTATATCAACCACCATATCACAGATGGAAAAGCTCACGAGGGATCTATTGAATTGAAGGTCAGGACAATGACAACTAAAATAGCCTGGGTACGTACTATGCCTTTCATAAATCTGAATCATTCGTGCGGAGGGAACGACATGGAAGTCAGCGGGCAATAACGACGGGATAATCGATCTGTACACACTTTTGGATGGACGTCAACCGCTGCTTCCCGTCAATACAAACTCGCTTCTCAGAGCCATCGCTATGATACGTGACAGCTACTCTTCGGTCAATCACAGGTCTTGAATCCGAAGAGGCGACGCACCAAAGATGACCGGGGGGATGTAGAAGTTGCGGAAGACGGAGTCAATGAGGCCTATGTGCATTATTGAGACATCAAGGAAGATTACTGTTCCACCATAAACGCACCAATTTGCTTCGCAATAGGCCAGACGACGTCTGAAAACGTATATGAACGCGTGCTCTCAACAACGGGGTTATAGAACGCACCTCGTTGGTATTCCGCTTCCAGGTCGATGTCTCCTGCCTCCAGTTGGTCTACAGCCTTTTAGTCCAGTCGGGTTTATACACGATCTTCAAGACTCACCGAAGATATGTTGAGCATTGTAGGTAGTCGCACGGGGGGCATTAAGAGCCCCCTGTATCCGGTACGTCGAGGTGTCTCCCTTCACTGCCTTACCCCGGGCCTTCTTTGATGAAGATAGAGTATCCTGGACCTCTTCCTCCTCGACGTCGGTCAGGTCCGAAAGGTATTCATCTTCCATGGCGCGTGTGGTATGGGTGGATGGTGGTAGTGCTTGCAAGCCGGAACGGGTCACGGCGTATTTGGGCTAGATTTGATGCGTGTTTGATGCGCCAGTGATACGCCATCAAAGTTCCAGACGCCTGGCTCCCTCCTATGCATATAGCGAGCATCTAACATGAGGAACGAAGACCTACGTATTTCTTTAGATGTTCTGGAAATTACCCCGCGTTCGTGCGGTACATGCTGTCTCTTTGTACGTGATCAGTTTTAGAACTGACCAGACATATTGGCGGACATCAGTGGCTGACAAGTTCTATCCACAGATGGCTGTCCAGGCTGACCACAAGACATCTGACCTTAACAGCGGCGAGTTTGACAGTGTTCTTCATGCCCTGAACTGCCGCTATTCACCTTGATCGCGGTACGCTCGCCATGTCACCGACATTCCCATCCTACGTCGTGACTACAGTTCTCGTCGTTCTCTTTGCTGTGCTTTTTGCTTCAACCTTTGTCTTTCTCTGTACTTACCTCCGCCAGCGTCGCCTCGCCGGTGAAGCTTTGCATTTGCCTACTCATTCGCCTGTAACTGGCGGCGTACGGGAGAAGACGTCAAAGGCATGGAAATTCACACCCCGTTCCTGGAAGCTCTCGTCGCCTCGGAAATCTTTCCTATATGGTATACGCAGCTCAATAGACGAGCGCCACATGGAGGTAAGCCTCCTCATTCTTAGAAATGTGTAATTATTCTAGGCAAGCCATCGCTCATGCAGTCCTCTGACTAGTGCGAGTTTCGCAAGAACGACGAGTGGTTGGACCGCATCAGATGCTTGGTAGAGGAATGCAATTATTCCCCGGATCCACGACATGCGCCTAAGTGTAGCCTCATCCCACGCTTTACTTCGAAGACAGACGTTCGCCAGCGGTCCAACTCATCGTTTACTCGCCCATCCCTGCTGAATGCTTGGGACAGTATCACTTCGCGCTGCTCTACCCGCTCGCGGTCGCGATCCGAATCCAGTGGGCTCTCCCCGCGGATTGTTGATAAGACGCACATGCCGAGCCTACCGACCTTCAGGATGTCTCTTGACTGGGAGCTCGAGCAAGCTCGCCTAACCGACAGGATGTTGAAATCCGGCGTACCAATGCCTTGGACGCCTTATGTCCCATCTCAGCCTCTCTACGCCTCCATTCAGCCTGCCATAGACACTCTCGACCCTTCCCCTTCTCCGGTCACATGGGCTCGATTCGATGACGCCGTATTCCACTCGGTCCAGCGTGTCAGCCACTCGAAAGCTCCTGACGATCGCTGCCCTGACATGTTAGACGATTATTCTGCCTGCAGCGCTGAATCGATAAACGTCTTCGTCACTACTCACCACCGACTGTCCCTCAATAATGCGGACAGCACTCCCCTAACCGGTCGACGACCTGTCTCGCAAGCGTAGCTTTTTACCACTGACTACTGTATTCATGTGCCCTAAGATACTATCCAGTACTCACAGTGTATTTGCCTGTCTCATCTATGCATTTTTCTCGCTTGATAGTTATCACAAGTGTGTGTGCATTAGAGTTCGCAGAAAATTCAGCAGAAATCGGACCGAATACTTAGCGCCCAAACGTGAAGCGGGCGAGACGCGTTCGGACGCGGAACGACCAACGACTGCCATCATCCTCCACTGGCCATGATGAGTAACAGGTTCACGACACCGGCTTCGTCATCGAGCAGACTGGCATCAAATTCGTTGCGCTCGACAGCGATAAAACGAGATTCACTGGCTGCGGAGCTCGAACGAGGTGTGTGTGCGCATCCTCGGGGCCGCCACTCGGAGTGTCTCACCGTTCTCTCTCGCTGCCTCCTTCATGCCAGACCCTCAGCTCTCCACAGCGAAACGCAAGCAGCGCACGCAAGTTTTCACCTCACACGTTGCGAGCGCATCCCTCGAGCGGCAGCTGGTCGCCGCACAGGCCGCAAAGGTCGAGCTCGAAACAAAGCTCCGCGAGAAGGACATCCTCATCGAACGCCTCGAGGCTGACAAGCGATGGCTCGCTGAGCGTGAACAACAGGAGCGCGAAGAGAAGGAGCGCGAGCGGACCGAGCGAGAAGAGGAGAAGGTGCGTATCGCGTCCCTCATCGCGTCCAAGCCTGGAATGCGAAGTAGTCACCCAGCGTAAATCGGACAGCGACATCCGTGCTCTGCGTAACTCGTACATTGCCCTCCGCGAACAGAATGCCGACCTCGAGGACGCGCACTCCGAGCTGAGTCGCGGCACGACACACACCATCGCGTCCCAAAGGTCTGAGATCGCCGCACTACAACAACAGGTCGAGGTACTTCAAGAAGAACTTGCCGGATTTCGGAAAGTCGCAGACGAACGCAGTCACGCTTACGACGAACTGCAAGAGCAATTCGAAGACCTCTCGTTCGCGCAGGCGAACGCGTCGCATCGCGAGGTCGAAGACGAGAGCTGGTCGGTTGTCCGTGAAGAGTTGCACCGACAGGCGGATCATGTCAGGAAGATTGAGGCCGAGAATGCAAAGATGAACACGGAGCTGACGACGCTAAGACAACGTCACACGAACATCGAGGTCCTTAAGGAGCAAAAACGCGACCTGGAGAGAAAGGCTAGGGCTACTGAGGAGCTGCGAGAGAAGGTGGTTAAGCTGGAAGCCAAACTTGATGCTGCGCAGAAAGAGCGGGATGGATGGTGCGTACTGGCAACCATACTCATTGTCCGGCTAACGAGTACCTTAGGGCGGCGAAGTCTGCGGAACCCTCAAAGACTCCAGTCTCTGTCACTCAAAGCTTGTCTGAGCTTCGCCTAACCTATGCGCGTCTCCTAGAAGAACATGGTTCCAACATGGCACTTCTTCGTCAACGCGAGGCCGAGATGAGCGAACTGCAAGGCGAGCTGCAGGAAGAACAGCAGACAGTGGATCAGCTACGCCACGAGCTGGAAGTTGTCAAGGATAAGGCCGATCGCATCGAGCACCGCACACAGCTCGCAGAAAGAGACGTCGGCTTCCTAAAAGCTATGGTAGTACGTCCCTATGTTTCCGCGAGGTTATATGCGCATTGAACAACACATTCAGGCGAGCTTTGCTGCAGAGGAAGCATCCCAAGATGGAATCAAGGTTGAAGAAGCGACTCAGAGCCGAGTGGAGCATCTCGAGGCCCTCGTGGCAGACTATCGTGCTACCATCGAACAAATGGAGAAAGAAATTGATGACCTTGGGGGTGATCCTTCTTCTCTGGGTGGCGGGCGGCCTCGGCAAGAGCTCCTCGAGGATCTGGAGCACGAAAAGGCTGCGAAAGCCCAGGCTGAACAAGGTGAGTAGCTATAGTGGCTCTGAGCCCGACGGCACTCAGGAGATACTGTAGCATTACAAGAGGCCGAGGAGGCGAACGAGAAGCAACTCGAACAGATCGACAGCCTCGAGCAAACACTCTTCGAGCTGCGCGGCGAAATTGGCGCTGGCAGGCATCTGCCGCCTGGCGCACGCGTCCTGACCATGCGTAACAATCCTGCGCAGCAGTGGGTGGACCTCAGCCAGGCAGCCATGGACCGCCTGAAGGGCGAGAACGAGGCGTTGCTGAGGCGACTAAAGGACCTCGAGGAGAGCGGTGTAGTAGGGGGTGGGAGTCAGAACGAGGAGCTCGTGCCGCGCGAGAGCTACGAGGTTGTGAACCGCGAGAAGGAGGAGCTTGAGCAGGAGCTGAAGCAGAAGGAGAAGCGGCTGCTCCGGCTCAGACAGGTGCGTATCTTCCCTCCCTCCTCTGGCTGCGGCCGCCGTTGACCTCACGGCAATACAGGTTTTTGCTGCCAAGACGGACGAGTTCAAGGAGGCGATCGCGACGATCCTCGGCGTGAAACTCGCGTTCTACCCGAATGGCCAGGTGCGCGTGACGTCACAGTTCGACCTCGACGCGGCGTTCGTGTTCCAGCCAACGAAGGACAATGAGGGCATGCGCATGCAGCTCGTCGCACAGGGTGACGGCGGGCCCGAGGACTTGCCGCAGCTGGTGCGCTACTGGGTTGAGGATCAGCAGTGCATACCGGGCTTCCTGGCGAGCGTTACGCTCGAGTGCTACGAGAAGCACAAGATGCAGCAGCAGCGCGAGGAGATGAGCATGTAAGCCGACGGATGTAGCTGGCTCTCCGTTGTTTTTTCACAGATTACTTTCGTTGTTCGCTGATGTATGTATTATGTATTCGAGACTGAAGGCTTTATAGCCTTTTGCATACCTTTAACATTCAACGTGCAGTAGATTCTCGGTAAAAATGGAATGCTTCATGTGGAAGCGCTATAGGTGCATTAAATGAACATTACACTGAGATAGATGCTGAGTGATGGTCCATCCGTCTAAGGTTGTGTCAAATTCAGGTTGTTTTCTCTGGTTCGGGGGTTGCCTCCGCGTTCTCCGGTCGGGAATCTTCTGCCTGTGCTTGCTCGACAGCCGGCGCATCCGTCTGGACCTCTTTGGGAACCAGTTCACTCGCACGCCATTGATACGGCCGTTCGCCTTTCAGATGCGAAAACCACTTCAGCGTGCTGAGCAGAGAATGAGCACTCCAATCACGTCCAGACCGCACTGCACTCACCCATCGCTGCGCCGCAAGTACTTGACGACGTCCTCCCAACCCAACCGCACGGGCTCGCCAGCCACCTCCGACCACGAGGCCTCCCGCTCCTGGAGCTCGACGAACTCGGGGTACGTCATCACGGGGTGCGTCGAGCGGAATTCTTGCGCGTGCATGCCCGTGATGATGCGGTTCAGGACTGTCCGTGGGCCGAGCGGCAGGCGGCGTTTGTCGCCCTTGACGTGGTATATCTCCGCGAGCGTCGGCGGCGCGTCGACGCCCTTCACTTCGTAGAGGACTGTGGGGTGTATCCTTTTTTCTTCGGCCGCATCGCGCTTCGCCGCCGCAGGCTCGTCGGCGCCGAAGCCTTCCGGTTCGTCTACGTCCGGTACGGGCTCGTTGCGCTGCTTGACGTCCTCCGTACCGGACGCTGAGCCAGCCGGAGCTTGCTCTACGGACTTCCAGTCTTCTTGTTCCCTCATGTACCGAAGCCAGTCGTCGACGATCGCCTCGCCCACCGCATGCGCGTCGAGCATCGTCGAGGCGAGCACGCCCTTGGCTCCGCGGCCCGCCCAGCCCGTCGCGAAGATGTTCGACAGGGGCTCACCCGTGATCGGGTGGATGACCTGGCCGTATACTGCGGGACGCCGGTTCGTCGTTTGCAAGGGAGGAGCAGCGGCATCCGCGGAGGCAACGTCAGGGTCAGCCAACGGCGACGTCGTGGCCGTCTGGCCTGCCGCGGGCGCGGATTCGGGTGTCTGCACGGCCGTTGCGGCAGCGGCGGCCTGGCCCGTCGGCAGCGGCGCGGTCGCCTCGGGATGTGTGAACGAGCCGCCGACGGTGCGCACGTGCCCGAGCGCGGGGTCGCAGAACGGCGTCGTCTCCGGCGTGCACCGCTGGCCGAGCGCGGTGATGACGAGCCCCGTCTCGTGCACAGTCGTCTCGTCCGTCGTCTCGACTTTGTTGGTGCCCGTGCCCGGGCGCGTGCGCGCGAGCGTGAGGCACATGGGTCCGGCCGAGTCGCGCTCCAGCGCAGAGCCGTCCGCGGCCGTCACGCCCGTCGCCGTCTGCCAGAAGTCGAGGCTCCAGGTGCGCTTCACGCCCGCGTCGCCGACCTTGAGCGCGGTGCCCTTCCTGAAGATGTCCATGACACGCTGCTCCCGACGTTCGAGCTTGTTCCCGCTTTCGGCATGCGCCAGGATGTCTGGGTCGACGCCGGTGAAGGCGACGCTCTCGAGGTTCATCATCTCGCGGAGCTCTTTTGGCGCGAAGCTCGCCTCTCGAGGGCCACGCCTGCCGATGATAGATACATGCTTGACCTTACTTGATTCAAGGACTTTCAAGACGTTGCTGGGAAGACCATAGGGCTTGAGACGAGCAGGGTCTGAGAGCAGGATGCGCGCACAATCCAGTGCGACATTTCCATTGCCGATAACCGTGATGTGTTCCGGTAGAGAGTCAGGCATTGCATAGTGCATCAGTTCAATGGTAGAATTTGGATGGCCGGTGTACCAATACACGACATCGAGTGCTGGGACGATCTTGCAATCGACGGGAGCCAGGGCCGGGTGGAGAATGGGTACAGGCGCTCCAGACGCGATCAGAAGATGAGTGTAACACTGGAAAATGCCGTTCAGTCTGATCATCGTCGCGTGCCCGGGATTGGGGTGCAGTAAATAGCGACCTTCGCCAGCGGACAGCTCCCCGTTGAACCGTAGCGGACTGAGACGGTGCGGTAGAATCCTGAACGGGGCTTTTCCCGCTCTTTTGAATCCATAAAGATAGTCTCTCAATCCCATTGGCTTGTTCGCTTGGCCATCGTCGTCCGGTCTCCGGGTCTGAAGATGCGGCCATGTGAGGCTCTCCGGGAAGCTAATTGGCGGCGGGAGCACCTCTACATTGCCAAAGAAGCTGACCCGTGGATCGGAAGCGATTTCGTGAAATTTATGCATGCAATTCTGTAAACGTGGAACATAACTCCAATCAGTATAGTGTGAAACAACGGAGCAAGTCGTCTCAAAGGAAGGCGTGGCCACTCGGACATCGTCAGATATCCTGGAAGAATTCAGCATCGCAGCTCAAATATTGTGCGCACGCCAGCTGGGGCCCACTAAGCGCATGATGGCCGGAAATTGGGGCTTTACGTGTCATAAAAAAACTGTTTGGGCTCGTCGAAACATCTCCCAATGCAGGCAACATTGAGTGGAGCGAGAATCTCACCTTGACTTCCGGATGGTCCGGTGCGACACCGTATCGTACGAGACCGTGTGGGGCCCACAGACGGTCGAACATATGTATGCGGACTGCTTTTTGCAACTCGTCCGTCTTCGGCAGTACCGAAAGTATACGAGAAGCGGCATAGAACGCAGAGGGTCCCGAGCCGAGAATGGCAATTTTAAGGATCGGAACAACCATAGCTTTTGAGTTTTAGGTTGCTGCTCCTCGTGCCTGCAGAAACCATGAGCATTTAGCACGTGACTGGCAAAACTCACGAACCTTCATTCAACACAAAGAAGAGCCTTCTAAGGCCCAAATGAGCCGGATATTGCCAATGAAGCAAATCTGCAAAAATTCTTTTGCTTCAATTCTGGAAGAAAAGCGGCAGTGCGATGTAAGCCTCGGAGGATGATCGACGTTCGTTCTAAACCAAGCTCGGCACGCGTGACTCGGAGATGTCGGCACGGGATATTCCGCGCCACAAGGTTGATGGGATCGAGCGGCCGCCCGACCCGACGCTCAAGCCTCTGTCGCCAACCTCAGGCTGCGTCCAGCGCTCCGAGAGTCAAGAATTTCCGTCTGCTTCATCTCTCTCCGATGCTGCTGTAATGTACTATGCTTTCTATACTGGCTTAGTTGTTTTTTGTCCTGGATCTGTGGTGGATCACCTGGGTAGTCCGGCTTCGCCGGTCGTTCTTGCGGAGGCTGCTGCGTGGTTGACCCTCTGCTCTGTGCTGAGATGCATGCCACATTAGGACTCTTTCGCTCTCGTAAAAAACTCAGAGTGTTGGCTCATATGTCAGCGGGTCTACCGTCAGACGTGAGTCAAAATCGTTGCCAAAAAGTTCTAGTGCATGCTCGTTTCGAAAACTAAAGAACAGCAGAACCGCGCAACTTCACACGTCCCTATCGAAAACTTTGAATCTCGACATCATATCATGCAGCCATCACGCCATTATCCTGGTCTCTTCTGTCGCTTAGGGGTAGTAAAGCGCTCTATCACCTCATTGCGTTGGCTTGCGTGATCTGGAAGCTTGCAGTGCTCATCTTGGTCTGTTCCTCTTTCGTCCCGATGCCGATATGCACCACGACACACCGCTGCTTCCGGTGATGGTGATTCGCTCAAAATTGCTCCGATAACGTTCGAAATCGCCTTCTTCTCCCTGATAAGCGCACTATATAGTTCTAGTCAAAGCGCCGTTGTTCCAGGCTTGAGCTCGAGATATCGCCCTGCTTTCGTCTTTCCACTCGACGATATGGCTACCATTCACAGCTCTTCTAGGCTGACTAACCCAGAGTACCAGCACGCAGACCCAGAGAAGACCGTTCCTGCCACGGAGGAGCACAAGTCTTTGGACAAGTATGACGAGACGACGTCGGAAGACGCCCAGGACGAAAACCCGCTCGCGCAGTTCAGCAAAGACGAGATCAAGTGGGCGTGGCGCAAAGTCGACATGCATGTCCTTCCTGTCGCAGTTCTGCTCTATCTCAGCTCCTACATCGACCGGTATGCAGAGCCATGCTCGGCACACACACATGTGCAACCGTTGACCCGCAGATCTTCAGTGCGAACATAGGAAACGCCAGGGTCCTCGGGCTGGCCGCTGCGCTCAATCTGAGCTCGAACCAGTACAACCTCGCGGTGTCGATCTTCTTCGTCGGCTACGTCGTCTTTGAGACGCCGTCCAACATTATCATCAAGCGGACCAGCCCTCGCTGGTACATCCCGGTCATGACTGTCAGTGCTGTGGTAAAACGCTTCTGTTGTGGGCTGATGACCTGTCCTATGTTATGGGTAGATCATCTGGGGCGTGATTTGCTGCCTGACGTCGCTGGTCAAGTCCTCGGCCGGTCTGTCCACAGCCAGATTCTTCCTCGGTCTCGCGGAGGCTGGCTTCCTGCCGGGTATCGTCTTCTGGAGTAAGGATTTGGCTGCGCATCATTGAGGCAAGGCTGCTCACTCAAAAGGTTACTTTGGCAGTGGGTTCGTGGTATCCCCGCCCCATGCAGGGTCGTCGATTCTCTGTGTTGTATTCGTCCGTATCTGTATGTTTTGACCATATCTGATGCACATTTGAGAATGCTCATATTTTTTAAAAGCTGACAGGAGCTTTCGGTGAGTTCATGCGGAGACTGACTTACATGCCGGGCTTACGCGCCCCCAATGCTAGGTGGCTTGCTAGCTACAGCAATCCATGCACTCGACGGCGTAGACGGTATTGCAGGGTGGCAGTACGCTTCAATGCTCCTGTAATTTCCGTTTCTGCTCTCTGACCCTACTGCCCAAGATGGATCTTCATCGTCGAGGGCATCATCACGATCGGTTTCGGGCTGCTCACCCTGCTCTTCCTAACCGCCTCGCCCGACACCGCGTCCTGGCTGAGCGAGCGCGAGCGGCAGATCGTCGTCCTCACGAACGAGGCGGACCGCGCGCTGAAGGCACACGAGGGCTTCTCGCGTGCGCAGATCACGAGCGCGTTCACGGACCCGCGGACGTACCTCTGGGGGCTCGCGTACTTTGCGAACTACATCCCCGTGTACAGCGTCGTGCTCAGCCTGCCGACGGTCGTCGCCGGACTCGGGCACACCGGCACGGGCGCGACGGTCATGGCCGTGTGGCCGTACTTTGTCGGCTTCGCGCTCGTCCTCGGTGCCGGCTGGACGACGGACCGCTGGGGCGCCCGCTTCGTGCACTACGCCGTGCCCATCGGCGTCGTCATGGTCGCGCTCGTCGTGCTCATCGCCGAGACGGACGACACGGTGCGCTACGGGATGTTCTTCCTCGTCATGTTCATGTGCGCACCCTCCCGCTTTTTCCTTTTCATTTCCTTCTGCTCCCCTGGGCACTCACCCGGCGCCCCTAGGTTTGTCCCGATCTCGACGATGTGGTCGTGGCTCGCGCAGAACGTCGCAGGCTCGAACAAGCGCGCGGCCGCGACGGGCCTCGTCTTCTCGATGGGCAACCTCGGCGGCATCGCCTCGGGCTGGATCTACAGCGCCGAGTGGGCGCCGCGCTTCGTCCCCGGGCACGCGATCAACCTGGCGTGCTACGCGGTCGCGCTCGTCGCCGGCGCGTGCCTCTGGTGGAGCTACCGCCGCGACAACCGGCTCCGCGACCGCGCCGAGGGCATCGAGCGCGGTGTCAGTGTGTATCAGCGCAGGAAGGGCCTCCTCGGCGAGGATCTTGGAGACTTGGGCGATAAGTGAGTCGCTGAAATACTTTGAGCTTTTTAAGGTGACAACGAATGGTTTCGCAGGCACCCCCACTTTAGATATTATCTGTAGATTGAACAGATTCAAGTGCGGAATATACAGCTTCTATGTAGATTACCACAACAGCCTATATCATAGCCTGACTGCGAAGGACTCTTGCATTATTTTCGCTTGCCTCGGAGGCGTGTATCTCACTCTGCTGTCCAACGCCATCCACGGCGGAGTGTCCGCGTCTGCACGCCCAGCGTCAGTGATGGCGGACAGAGCCAAAATTGGATGCGGCACTGATTGCAGATCTCAACGAGCAAGCGCTGGATTTTGAGCAGGCCGGGATGTGAAGGCTCTGTGGACGATGTGTGCGGTGCGCGCTGCGGCGGGGTCGGTGGACCGCGAGGAGCATCGCGTCGGCCTAGTCGGTCACAGCCGAAAAAGCGAAGGGGCACGTGACAGTTTCCCGCCTCTTTCTCTGCTACCTCCATGTGTCTTCCTCCCCGCCTCGCCCTGTCCTCATCTCCTCTCGTCAGATAGCGCGTTTTATTTTGTACACTGGATAACCAGATCCCAGCTCGAACTATATCTCACTTCACTCAGTCTGCAGAGCAACACTGTTCTGCCCGGCGGCGTTCGTGATCCCCGTCCGCAATTACCCACCTCTTTTCTCAGAAGACTCAACCAGGGCCTTCACTCAACCTACCAGCTATCTAAATAGTGCCGACATGGCTCGCTCTTGTACTCCGCCTCCGCTTTCAGACAGAAAGAGGATCATCGCAGATGCTCATCGCAGGCGATCTTTCGCTCCCGCACGATCTCCTGATGCTCCCACAGACTCTGACGAAGTGGAAGCAGACTTGTTTGAAAACCAAGACGCGATGGAGGTTGATGAGTCGCCGTCCGCAGGTGCAGCGAGAGGTAGGAGCAGGAGACAGGCCAGGAGTACGGGCCTGGTTGGAATGGGCAGCAGTCGCGCGAATGGCCGATCAAGTACGTGTTCATGCCACTCAGTCTCGCCCAGAGTGCCATATTCCGTGCGCAAACGAGATTTTTCAGAAGGCTGACGCGTCTTTAGAACCTCCAGAGACACCCGAACGCGATGCGGAAGGCCTTGTTCTTCCAACGTGGACGCCTTTAGCCGTGCCCAGCACATCTTCGAACGCTTCCGACGCGTCCGAGCCACTACCACCGACATCAGACTCAGATATAACGGTACAACGCGCTGACCATTCATCGTCACGTCAAGCTGGCCCACTGGCTACAACTAGTACAGTCAAAACTCGTGTTGGGCCCAAGACGAAGCCTCACACTCAGTCGCCTCCTTATAACCCGTCCGAGGAGTTCCGCATGTCCTTGGACGCACTGCGATGGCTACCTCCAAGTGCCATCCCTTCTGGTTTGATTGCAGCTCCTCCCGGGCTGGCAGATGGTGATAGAGCCAGAACTAATCGGGCAATAAGCGGAAACCCCGGTATGTTGTACTGCTCTCTTTGACCTGCGGAAAGCTCTAATACATATGTTCAAATAGATACTATTCCGAATCCTGGCCCATCACACAAGAAACAACGCTTTGAAGTTTCAGAACGATCGACACCCTCGCCTTCCAACGCTCAAAACAACTCTGCGCGTATATCCGACGGGATGTACGCCACTGAGGCTGCACGAAGCAAGGGCAAAGGAAAGGCACGAGAAATTTCTCCGGAGGTCCCCGCGCCCGACCTGTATGAAGATGTCGAGCAGACAGAGCACATCACTGAAGAATCATTGAGCCCTGAGGTGCCTCCACCGCCTCTCCCAGGCGATGATTTTGAAGAAACCATGTCAGTCGATGTGGAAATTCTCGACTCTGAACCTGAACGTTCTCCACCGACCATCGCTTCAGGCGAAAAGGCGGGTCTGCGATCTCGGGCAAAGGTTAAACCCGCATGGCTGGATACTTCTCGAAGACAGCTAAAACCCGGCCAGCGCTACTTTGTGGGCAAGCGTCCACCACCGTATCCTACTCAATCACAAAGGGTGGACAAGGGAAAAGGAAGAAGAACAGACCTCCAGGTACGCCCGCTTCTTGTACATTGTGGCCCGTGCTGACTCTGTCGCGCTTCAGTCTACAAGACGCAGGCGCAGTCGCCTCCTGACGCCTCCCGACCACACCGACCAATGGGTGCAAGCTCTGAACGCCGCCGGTGCGGTCAACGCACGCCTGATGGGGCTGACCCCGCCGCGCGCGAACCCGACGACCGCACAGGGCCATGCCGACGTCATCAACGCTGCAGCCCAAAACAACGTGCTCCTGAACGAGGGCGCGCTGGCGGAGGAGCACCGCGCATACGAACGTGCAATCGGCGCGGGACGCGCCAGGGTGCTCCCGCCGGCCTTGGGACGTCAAAACAGAGCTGCGAGACACCCGGGCCTCGCGGCGGTTCCCGATGCACCAGGACCGTCTGGTGCAGACGACTCGGACGGCGAGTGGTACCTCGACCTCGACACGATCACCTGGCGCCGCCGCTCGCCCCCGCCCGCCGCCGCCGCCCCAAACACAGCAGCAGCAGCAGCCCCAGGCGCAGGCGCAAGTGCAGCCCCCAGGTCAGACGCAGGTCCTTCCTCAGCCGTGCCCGGAGGTTCACATCCCACAGGTCCGCGTCCCACGCCCCCCGCCAAGCGGCCGCGCGGCCGGCCGCGGCTGCCCGACGCGCTCAAGAAGCGGCCCGCGCCGACCGGCAGGCCCCGCGGGCGCCCGCCGCTCCCGGCGCACTTGCGCAAGCACGCGCCGCGGACGCGGACGGGCGTGCCAGGCGGCGGGCATGAGGGCCCTGGTGCTGTTGGTGCGGGGGCGGGGGGAGAGCAGGGGGCGGGGAAGAGGCCGAGAGGAAGGCCGAGGAAGCACCCCGTGGAGGCGCAGGCGCAGCCCGCGGCAGCACCACCACCACCACCACCGAGACCGAGCACGCCCCCCGCCGCGCCCGTGTCGCTGCTCGACATCCAGCGGCCGCTCACGCCGACGCTGCTGCTCCGCCGCCGCGCGAACCTGCACGCGCACGTGCTCTCTGAATCTGAAGGGTCGTCGCTCACGCTCGTCCAGCCTGGCGCGGCGCCCGAGCCCGAGAACGCGAGCGAAGCTGAGAACGCGCCGCGCCGCGAGGAGGCAGAAAACGCGGAGGACGTCGTCATGGAGTACGTCGACCTGAGCCAGTGGGGCCGAGAACCTGGGGCCGAGGCCGAAGCTAAGGCGGCAGCGGCGGCGCGCCCGCAGAGCACAACGAGCAAGGCGGCCGCTCAGGCGGCGTTCAACGCGGCCGACTTCGAGCCGTCGCCGTTCGTCACTTCGGTGCCGAGCACGCAAGAAGCGACGCGACGCGACATACCCCCCGCCGCCTCCGCCCCCACCACCGCGGCACAGCAGGCGCCGTACCAGTCCCTGACGTGGCAGCTGCCCATCACGGGTGCGCCCCGCACCCAACCGCGGCCTAGCTCTTGCGCGCCGTCTGAGTCGGCCGCGGGGGCGGAACGGAGGGTGCGGCCGCTGCGGAGGCAGCAGTCGGCGGGGACTGCCCCTTGTGCTGACCGGGCGGAGGCGGCCCCTCGTGCACCTGCCGAGCCGCGTCACAGCGCGCAGGGCCCCAGCCCCGACCACGAGCCTCCCGCCACCGCTGCCACCGCCACCGTCACTGCACCGTACGCGCCGCGCCTACAGACGCATGAAGAGCTGTGCGCGCAGAATCCCGAGCAGTTTACCGAGGTCTCCTCGTTCGTGCGGGGGCCGCCGCCCCCTCCCGTGCGGGTTGCCGAGGTCTGGGGCGCCGTGCAGGATGTGGCCCCTGCGCACACGCCAGAGGCGCACCAGGCTCCGTATCCGTGGACGCAGCATCAGGCGGCTGCCCTCCACCACCCTTCGCACCAGAGTCAGATCCCGCCGCCGCCCCTGCCCCAGCCGCCTCAGTCCGTGGCCCATGCAGGAGACCCGGCGTCGAGCAGTCAGACTGTACCACATTCACCTGCGCCCGCGCCCCAGCTTGCTTTCCATCAGCAACAGCAGCAGGGGGTCCAGCCCCGAGCGCCACCCGACGAAGTGCCTCTCCACGCCCAACCTCAAGAGCAGCCCGAACCCAACCCCGACCCCGACCCCGACCCGAACCCCGACCCCGATCCGGACACAGAGGCCGCAGAGGCCGTAGAAGAAGCCGCAGAAGCAGGCGCGTCGGCGGCAGCGGTGGACCTCGCGGACGACGTCTCGGTGCCGGAGTACCAGTCGCGCGCGGACCTGGCGGCGGCGCTCGTGGCGTACGTCGGTGCGCACCCGCACGCGCGGGCGCCGGGCCCGTTCTTCGTCGGCTCGTACGCCATCGTCGTCGACGCCAAGACGCGCCTCGGCGAGCCGTACGCGCGCGGCGTCGCGGGCCTGCTCCGCGGCGAGCTGCGGGATCGTGGCGGGTGGGGGTTTCGGTGCGCTCTTGTCTCTCTCTTGTCTCTTGCCTTTGTGCTCATTGGGATGTTCCGGCAGGTCGCAGGCGGACACGGTGTACACGTCGTACCGGGACGGGAGCGTGCACCTGTCGTACGGGTGTGCGTGCACGTACCGGCCGGCGGAGCAGGCGCGCACGTGTGGCGGGCGCGTGCACTTCGGCGTGCAGGACATGAAGGGCGCGACGGTCTATGCTGGCGTCAAGGGCGTGCGGGTCGCGGTGAGGGTCGAGCATTGAGTGGGAGCTTTCGTTCACGCTGTTTCTTTCTTGTGCCGTAGGAACGGGCTGAGCATAGTACATATATTCGCATGTGCCTGGGATTACGTGGGATTATAATTTGGAGCATACGCCTAGTCTACTCGCAGGCCTATCATACACAAACTTGGACCCAGCCGAGATTCACTGCGCCGGAGGCGTCTTGATGCCCTCGCGCGTCGCCCAGTCGAGCCAAGAGCCTCTGTACTCCACGATGCTAGGTGCACGTTGCCCGTCAGCTATCTGCTCCCCCGTCCGCGCACGTACACGACTCACTTGGTGTACCCGGCCTTCTTGGCCGAGTCGGCCGCGATGGACGAGCGCTTGCCCTTTTTGCAGTAGATGATGACCTCCTGGTCCTTGCGCGGCTTCGCCCAGCCGAACTGCGCCTCGAAGGCGGGCGCGTCGAGCGCGAAGCCGCCCGCGAGGACGTGCGTCAGCGGGAGGTTGTGCGCGGTCGGGATGTGGCCCTCGAGGAGCTCGGCGGGCTCGCGCACGTCGACGATCACCGTGTCCTGTGCAGGGCATGTCGTCAGCAGGCGCGGACGCGGATGAAGGAGAAAAGGGGGCGTACGGGGCTCGGGGCGAGCGTCTTGGGCTTGAGCGCGTCGTAGGTGATCTGCTTGGGCTCCCAGTCCTCGTCGTACGCGCGCAGGAGCTGCTTGCGCTGCTCCTCGGCGGTGAGGGTGACGGTGCTGGAGCTGACTGTGGTAGAAGACCTGCGAAGCGGGCACGGCGAGATTTTTGAGCTCGCAGTTAATACAACTGACGCGGGAGACATGCGTACATGTTTCAGATGCTTTGGGCTTGAGTCTAGGTTCGATGTGTTGGAAGTGTTCTGTGTGAGAGCTGAAGATGCGAGCGCTGTGCAGAATTGCGCGATGCGCTTACGGGTTTTATACCCACCGTTGGCGTGCTTTTTGCGCACTCGGCTCCGCGAAAACTGCGCCCTGTGCGACCTGGACGTCAATGAGACGGCGACGGGCACATGCCATAATGTGCAGCGCAGCCGTTTCATGTGTAACGCAAAGTCCAAAGCAGCCAGACGCATACTCGGGCCTCCACAGCTTCTCCCCATGCGACCTTCAAGATCCATGCCAAAGCGGCGGTTCACGAGACGGCGAGGTGAAATGCCTTGCAGGCCTGCCAGTGCTGCATCTAACGCATTGCAAAATGGCATTGTACAAGCTGACAAGCGCACTTCAAGCTTCATTTCCGTACGCCACTGCGCGACAAGACTCGGGTGCCAGCGCGTCCGGCAAGACTGACGTGGCATGAGCAGCAGGCCGGGGGTCAGCTACTTGGTGCTTGTTTCTTTTCTCCAAACTGCTGAATAAATTCAAAATGAGCCTTTTGAGAGATGAATGTGAGACGTACTGAGCCGAGTTGTATGTAAAGGTAAACTGGCAAGAATTGTCGGTAAGTCCGACGAGGCGCCAGCGTTGTGGCGTCGCTGCCAGGACCCTGCGTGCTACCCCGGGCCTCTGCGCCAGTCAGCAAAATTGCTCACAAATTTTTTGCTATTGCTGGTGGTCAGCTAGGTGTATTTCACTTGAGGCATATACCCGCGATACATGCCGTTGATCACTAAGCTAGGGGCACAGACAGGAGTGCCAGAAACGACCAAAGAACGGGTGCAGAGACACTATAGCCCGCACACCGCAGACAACCTCGCCAGCATCTCAAGGCCGTGCTCCTTGCGCATCGCCCCGTTCCTGTCCACGCCTGCCGCAAACCTCCTTGTGTCCACCGTCGCAGGGTACCTGCCCTCGCCGTCGGCGCCCGCCCAATCAAAGTCGACCAGCATCCCACGCAGCCGCTCCGTCGCCCCAGAGCCCGATTCCGCACGCGACTCAGGAACACACATCACGTTCGGCTGCCGGAGGTCGCCAAAGACGATGCTCTCCGTGTGCAGCATCCTGATCGCAGCGTCGACGTCCTCGAAGACCGACCGCGGTACAACCTTCTTCTGTATCTGGACGAGATACTCCATCGACTGGCCGGGAAGGAGCGCCATCACGACCATGTACAGCCCTCCACACACGAGCGAGCACGAGTACAAGTGTGGTGCGAGGTCTGCGGATGCCAGGAGCCGGTGCGCACGAGAGTTGTAGCGATCGGTAAACTTGACGAGTACCTCGATCTGCGAAGCAGTCGCGGAAGACGATGCGGCAGAAGGCGCACCAGAGCCCTGTGGACACGGCAGGGTGGCAATGAACAGTCGCGAGCAGGTAACGTTGCTTTCGTCTTTGATTTCCCGATGCAAGAGGAAACGCTCCCCGCCTGGTGATAGCCTGCATATAAACATCAAGCCTTCAGGGAGTGGGTCGCCAGATAGGTACGTCGGAGAGGGAAGCAGGTGTGCGTTATTCTCCAACGGCGGCGCCGCCACCGAGGCGGTATACTAATCATTGATTGCGCCGTATGCGATCTTGATTGCCTTGAACGCCTGTGCAAGA